TGGTGGGCAGAGGCAAGTTGTGCTCTGCCCCGATGCCAGCGCTTCTGCTGGAGTAGGACAAGGGGGAAGGGGATGGCAGAGGCAAACTGCACTCTGCCCAGGTGCCAGCTCTTCTGCTGGGATGACAAGGGCATAGTTCTGCCCGGTAGAAAGGGGAAACTTAGGGCAGAGGCCAGCAGCACTCTGCCCTGATGCTAGCTCTTCTGCTGAGAGGAGGCCAGTGAGGGTTAATGTCTCCTCCGCTAACCCCGGTACATTGTTATTTGTGGCACCCACCCACCGCTCAGGGGTGGGGGGGGGAGGACAATAGGTCCCCACCCTCAATGTCTTTTATGGCCCGCACCCACCGCTCAGGGGTTTGGAGGGGACTACCAGTCAGCCTTTTACCCTGTGACTATGGCCCCTTTAATTTATTGTGGTTGAGAGACCCTGTTTGTGTCTATTGGGACTCTAAACAATGGTTCTTCGAACTCCCGAACAGTCGAAGTGGCCGCCATTTGCCATTCGAACACGTGGCACGTAGCGTCAGGTTTTTTCTTTTTCGGCTGATTTTTTTTATTGTATTTTTTACAAGTTCGACGGGTATTATGGTTTTTAGAAAAAAAGAAGACATCAAATGGTAAGTTTTATTTTTTTCGACTACCGACCATGCGGCGGTCGGCCATCTTGGATCCTTGTTCCCTCAGCGGTGTTTGGTCGTCGAGCGCGTGGTACTAAAAACGGCTACTCGACGGCGCGAACACCGCTGAGCTTCCAGGCAGTTCGGGAGTTCCGGGCCGTTCGGTATTTTATTCCCTATACTTCAATCGGTCTTTTGAATGTGTGTTTTAATAAATGTGTTTTTCGTGCGGCGTTCGGTTCTTTTAGCTGGGATCTGAGCGGTAATCTCACGAATGATGCGCTCAGACCCCAGCTATCTACCGAACGTCCATTCGTGAAAATAGACCAAATAGTCGAAGAACTGTACATTTTAAGGTAAATTGACGGTTCTGCTGCACGGAGGGATAATCCACTTAACGGTACATTCCAGTGGGAGGATCCCTCTCGTGCAGCAGTGCCTGATGGGAGAAAGGCTCTGTACATTAAGTTCCCCACGTAGTCCACTCTGGGAATGCCCCTGGGATGTGACTCAGGAAACCCCTTGCATGGGGAATTGTATAAATTGTAGAGCCTGTGAATAAAGCCTTCAGTTGACTCTCAGAACTGTGTTTCGTCCGGTTACTGGGAGATTTGGGATATTGACTTGCTTTTCAGCGCTTGACTGTGGATTACTTTCTGAACCAGCGGTTCTTAATACTGCCGATCCGCTACAGCCCCCACCCACCGCTCAGCAGTGGTGGCTGGGGGACACACAATAGGTCCCCCCAATTGTTATTTATGGTCCCCACCCGCCGCTCAGGGGTGGGGGACAGGGGAGGACAATAGGTCCCCCCTCATTGTTATTTATGGCCCCCACCCACTGCTCAGGGGTGGGACAATAGGTTCCCCCCATGTCTTTTATGGCCTG